ACCGACTAGCGTGCTCGGTGGGGAGCCATGGGGCTTTCCTAACACGTGCTGGAAAGGGGGAAAAGGGCGAGTCTCCCTTCTGCTACCCTGCTCCCAGAAGACACTGCCATCGCCTGGCCCAAGCTACCAGCTACTCCTGCCTGGAGTATTGCAGTGACTTCCTCCCCGGTCTTGTCTGCTTCATCTCTTGCTCCTCCTGCAGCTGGAGTGACTGCGCTGCAACAGAAGTCACGTCCCTTCCTTGCTCACGAGCCTCCAGTGGCTCCCAATCTCCCGCCGAGTAAACGCCAGCGACCATGCCAGTGCTCCAAGGCCTTCCTCGTGAGCTTCCAGTTTCCTACCACCCTCATCTCCTGCTCCTCTCTTTCCCCATCCACTCCAGCCACACTGACCTCCCCGCCATTCCTCAGATCTGCCAGGCGTGCCCCCATCTGGGGCCTCTGTGTCTTATTCTCTCTCTGCCTAGAATATCCTTCCTCCAGATACTTACGTGGCTCCCCTGCCTCATCCTTCTCGAAGTCTTTGCTCCATTGTCACTTTCCTGGCGAGACTTTCTCGCCACCCCAGACCCTCCTCCCACCTCTAGCACTCTTCATCCCTTCCCCTCCTTTCATTTTTTTTTCTACTGCATTTGCCACTAACAGATTGTGCAATTTACTTTAAAAACAAAAAACATTGCCTAGTGTCTGTTTGCCCCAACTAGAATATAAGCCCCCTGGGGCACAGCTTTTTGTCTGTTCTGTGCCTGTTGAATCTCACCGACCAGAAGAGTTTGTGCTCGCTGCACACGTGTGGACTGCATGATTACAGATGGAGCAGGGCCGGATGAGGTGGACGGTGGCTGGTGAGCCTCCTACGCTCAATCTGGTTCTAGTTCTGGAACTTGACTTACTACACCCATGTTTTCATCAGTTTCTTGATTTTTGAGCAGTGCCTGAAAAGGTGGGGGAAGACCTGGTGCAAGAGAAAGGCCCTTTGTAGAGTTGATGGCATTGCCGCAGTGAAACCCGAGGGCCCCAGAGGAGAGGTGGCTAATGCTGCTATTTATAGCTCAGATTCCAGTGTATGTTTTCCAGCCACACTTACTCCTTTCAGCCTCCCCTGTATGCTCAAGTCTGTCACTCAATTAGCTAATGGTTTCTTTAGTCCCATTATGCATTGTAGTGCTCCCCTGGCTCAGGTGTGTTCTTTTTGTTTTTGTTTTTTAAGAGAATAACAGTGTTCTATTGTCAGAGGTTTAATTCTTTAATAGCTGTGCCAATTAAAAAAAAACCACAACCCTTTCCCAATGTTTTATCATGCAATTTTCCAACATACAAAAGAGTTGAAAGAATAACACAATGAATGCCCAAATGCCCTTCACCGGGAACCAACACTTCTTAAGATTTTGCTGCATTTGTTTTACCTGTATGTGTGAGCCTGTGGGTGTGTGTGTGTTTTTTTCCCTGAACCATTTGAAGGTAAACTGCAGACATCGTGACACGTCACTCCTGAAAACTTCAGCCTATTCTCCTACAAAACAGTTTGAGAATAAGTGCAGACATCATCATAATATACTCTTGGATCTCCCGAGAATGAGGCCATTCCTAAATGCAGCCACAGTACCATTAGTGAACCTAAGAAAATCAACAGTAATTTCAGACATCATTCAATATCCAGTCTGGATGCAAATTTCCCCAATCGTCCCAAGAATGTATTTTTCAAACCAAGGTTTTGTCAAAATTTATGCAAGGCATTTGGTACTTATGTTCCTTTAAATCTAAAAGAGTCTTCTTCCTGCCTGCCCCCGCTCCCCTTTTAAATTTATTTAATGACATTGACTTTTCGAGGAGTCTGGGATGGTTACCGTATGGATGTCCCATATTCTGGGCTGGTCTGATTGCTTCCTCGTGGTATCACTGAATTTATTCCTCTATCCCCTTATTTCATGTAAGCTGGGAAAGAGGTTTCGAGGCTTGATTGGATTCAGGTTAAATGCTTTTGAAAGAAGACTTTAAAAGTGATGTTGTGGGTTTCCCTGGTGGCACAGTGGTTGAGAACCCGCCTGCCGATGCAGGGGACACGGGTTCGTGCCCCGGTCCAGGAGGATCCCACATGCCGCGGAGCGGCTGGGCCCGTGAGCCATGGCCGCTGAGCCTACGCGTCCCGAGCCTGTGCTCCGCAACGGGAGAGGCCATAGCAGTGAGAGGCCCGCGTACCGCAAAAAAAAAAAAAAAAAAAAAAAAAAAGTGATGTTGTGTACTTCATCCTGTATCATGTCAGGAAATATGTGGGTGTTGAGTTGTCTTGCTCTGAGTGATGCTCACTTCGATCACTTGGTTATGATTGAAGTGATGCTTAGAGGTCTCTCTGAACTGTTTCTCTTTTAAGTAAATAGAACAGTAGAGCATTTTGTTCTCAAAAGCTTAGTTTAAAGAAAAAATAAAAAAACCTCCCCTGTCACTGGCTCTTTTTGAAGGTCAGATGTGTCTCTAAGAGTTGCAAGGTAACTTCCAAGCCTATATGTATATAATGACTGCTGGACATGATGAGCAGGTAAACCAGACAGAAGAGCTGAGTTGGAGCTTTGAGTTGAGACCGTGGAGAGGAAAATGTGGGCTCTGCCCCTGGCTTTGTCAGAGGACCATGGCAGGGTGGCTGTTAGGAGGTTGAAATTAGCAGCAAGAGGCCTTGGGCTCTTCCAGCTTCCTGTTGAACATTATCATTCTTCCAGAAAGGAGGGGAAAGGTACCCACACTCCATTTGTAAAGTGATGGCCTTTGAGATATCAAGGAGGGAATTAAGGAGCCCTTCTAGAATTCTCATCCCGGCATGTTCCTGAGAGTGGTGTACCGGACATCTTTAGGAAGTGTCCTAGATACAAGATGAGAGGACCATACGTCCTTGTGATAGGTATGTGGGTGATCTTGGAAGATTTTTGCTGACCTTGGAGTTTGTTGTCGAAAGCTGAAAAAGGCTTGGAAAGGTCAGGAGAAGAGCAAGTATACAATGAAAAAATTAGATTGAGAGAAATCAGGACTTTTCAGCCTAAAAACAGGAGAGTCAACAGGGAGATAATAAAAATAACAGTTTATTGGGAACTTACCAGGTGCTGTTTAATTCATTACATGTGTTCCCTGAACAATGTGTTCTTACTGCTCCTGTTTTGCAAGGTAGAGAGACCAGTGCTCAAGTTAAGTAATTTGTGTAGTACCGCATAGTACTAGATAGAACTGAGATTTGAATGCAGTCTGTCTGACTGGTACCCGCCCTCGACCTCTGTGCTTTGCTGTCTGCTAGGGACTTATACCCTGGATCTCAGTATGATAGAGTAGGGAGGTGCTCCTTGACTTTAGAAAAATAAATAAATAAACATTTATTACCTCATAGCTTCGGTGAGTCAGGTTTTGGGAGCGGCTTAGCTGGGCAGTCTGGCCTGGGATCTTCCACGAGGTTGCACTCGATACATTGGCTGGGCCGCAATCATCTGAGAGCTAGACCAGGGCTGGAGGATCCATCTCCAAGGTGGCTCATCTGCACGGCGGGCATGTGGTGCTGGTTGAAAGGCCTCAGTTCTTTCCCTCTCTTGGACTTTTGAAGGAGCTAGTTTTCAGGTTGCAAGTGTTCTTTTATAGAAATATTTGGAACTCACCAAGCCCCTTAGTAAAACTGACTGAAAACAGACTCAAAAGGATTTGGAGAGATCCATCACAGGGAAGAAAGGTTAAGGGGAGGGAGAGGTGCTTCAAGAGCTTGAAAACATGAGGGAAAACTGGTTTCTACCTTATTATAGTAGACCCTTGAATTGATCGAGACTGTTTTGTTTTTTTTTTGCTAGGTTCTTAAAGGGCTGTGTCTGTTTCTTGGAGAGATCCAGGGTAGACTGTTTTGGTGAGGGGAGGTTGTCTCTAGGAAATGCTCATGGAGGTAGTTATTTATACATACCCTGCCTTGTTCTAGAAAACCAGCTTATAATAATACAGTAGCAACAAAGAGAGAAAACGAAGTGGCGGTTTGATGGATACTGTGGGTGGGGAAGGAGGTTGGAATATGTGGCACTTTCCTGGTCTGGCTTTGTAAGATGTGGGGTGGCATGGAAGGGCTGCATACTCTTTGGAAATCCTCATAAACGCTGCTCTTTCTTGGTAATTATTGAACGGCTCTGAACTGGAGGCTCTGGGTCCTCAGCAGTAACTGGATGGAGGCCATTCGGTGCGGCCAGGCTTGGTGGGTGGGGTCAGGGGTGTGTGTGCAGCAGTTTCCAGCCTGCCTAGGGTTTGGTGCTTCTGCTTCGTGCCAGTTAGTTCTGTTTCTTGTTCGCCCACAGGGCTGAATTTGCCTAGTGTTCCAGGGGCTGGGTGACTCTGAGCTGCCTTCTCACCTCACTGATGGAGCCAGGTGTTGACTAGTCTCTCCCTGTGGGACTTACCCAGGACCGTGTAACGATGGGGCTGACTTGCTTGTACTGAACTTTTGTTGTTTTAAACTTTTTTCCGCCTTATTTCAAAGTGAAACATTTTCTGGATTGAAAATTAAAAAACACTTTTTAGCCCAAATAATAAGTCCCTGAAATCCTTTATCTAGAGATGACTCCTGATAACGTTTCTTTAGGGTCTCCTGACCTGTTTCGATTCTTTTTGCCACCCCTCTTCCTATGGGTGGGGGGGATGCTATTTGTAACTGCTTTCTTCCTCTGTATGCTGTCAGTATCTCTTACTCTTTTCTTATGGTCCTGCAGGTATAAGCAAACAAATAAATAAAGTAGAAATTACCTAGTGAACCTAACGATATAAAATGTTCAGAAAAAAATGAGCACAGCCTTCCCCACCAGCCTGATACCGTGGTGACAGTTAGGCATATTCCTTCCCGTTCCTTTTTCTGTGCCACGAGACAAGTTTGAAGATGTAGAAAAAAGTTGCCAGGAAAGCCAGAGTCGGTGAAGTGGGAGCTTATAACTTACAGAATCTGAACTCAGTGTGCATTTGCTTTTGTCCATCCATGTTGCTTTTTGTGTCCAACAGTGGAGAACACACAGCTGACCCTGAACCTGCAGACAGAGAACAAAGGCGGTGTTGTCTCGGGTGGTGAGCTGACAATTTTCCTGGACGGGCCGGCTGTTGATCTGGGAAGCGTGCCTAATGGCAGCGCCGTGACGGATGGTGAGTGCTGCCCTGCTCCCCAGGGCTGTGCCGGGATGGGACAGGGCGGGGCAGGGTGGGGCAGAGGAGGTGCCCAGATCTTGGTTCTCTACCAGATACCTGGGTTTGGGTACTGCACAGCCAGCCCTGACTCTTCTTTTTTTTTTTTTTTTTTAACTGAGGCTTAGGGGTCCTGGGCAAGTCCCTTAACTGCTTTGAGCCTCAGTTATTTTTTTTTTTTTTTAATTTTATTTATTTATTTATGGCTGTATTGGGTCTTCGTTTCTGTGCAAGGGCTTTCTCTAGTTGCGGCAAGTGGGGGCCACTCTTCATCGCGGTGCGCGGGCCTCTCACTATTGCGGCCTCTCTTGTTGCGGAGCACAGACTCCAGACGCGCAGGCTCAGTAGTTGTGGCTCACAGGCCTAGCCGCTCCACGGCATGTGGGATCCTCCCAGACCAGGGCTCGAACCCACGTCCCCTGCACTGGCAGGCAGACTCTCAACCACTGCGTCACCAGGGAAGCCCCCTGACACTTCTTAGCATCATGGATCACAATCAGGACATGATTTTTCAAGGACTGTTTTCTGTTAAAGGACCAAAATAAATACCAAGCCTTTGTAAGCGTGTTGTTGTTTTGGTTCTAGAGCAGAGAAAAACATGTTTTCAGCCCACATGGACTTTGTAAAATAAAACATCTTTATTAAATGTTACTTGGGCCCATTTTTCTTCTTCCCAATCCAGTTAAACTTCCTGGAGAGCTTGAGAGTGTCTTTTATGAGATGGTCTTGGTTGGAAAAGGGGAACTGTGTGTCTCAGAGATTCACACTAGCTGAATACAGGCAAGAAGCAGGGAAATTGGAGTGTCTCCTGCTCTGTCCTGAATGTTGGCGGTTTGTTTCTTTTCATCTAGTTTGAAATTAGTCACTTTTGGATCTAGCAGGAAATTACTTCATGAAGTCTGAGGTCCAAAACCGGTTGGCTTTCTCCATAATTTTTCTTGTTAAGCGTGATGTAACTATGGCACCTTCCAGGCCCCAAGCAGGCTTTCTGTAGCTTCAAGGGGTGGGGTTTGAAATCTATCTGAAGGGCATTTGAGTGGAATCTCAGTGATTGGATGGGCCTTGACTTCTGAGAATCCTCCCTCAACTGACCTCCGTGGTGCTTGGGGTACTTTTGGTACATCTAGAAAAACCTGCATCATTCACTCATTCAGCACATACATCCACAGCTGAGCACCTGGTATGTACTAGCTCTCGGACCAGGTGCTAGCCAGACATCAGGGGCAAAATTCACATGGTCTCTACTCCCTAGAGCTTGTGATCTACTTGGCAGGGGCAGAGGATGTTAGATATCAAATGAGTAAACACAGAAATAATTATATAACTGTAACTGTGAACAAATCTATGAAGGAAGAGTACTGGGTGGTATGAGGTTCCTTTACTTGAGGGGGAATCTCATCTAAATTGGGGGGCCAGGGAAGGTTTCCCTGAGGAAACTGAGTCCTGCTGGAGTACAAGGAGTTTGGACAGGCCAAGGCGGGGGGTGTGGGATGTAGGGGCAGCTGAGTAAGAGGTGGAGGGGTCTCACATGCAGAGGCTCTGAGGTGGGAGCGAACGTGGCCTGCAGCGGGTACAGAGGCAGCCAGGGCAGCTGGATCGTGGGGAGCGAGAAGGAGGTGCTGGGAGGTGAGATCAGTCAGGTCACACAGCCTCGAAGACCTTGGTAAGGATTGTGAACCTCAACCTAAGAAGTAGAAAGCTGTTGAGGGGTTTTTAATCAGGAGAGTATCATGATTTGATTTAGATCGAATCTGATTTGGCTTTTTAAAAGCTCTCTGGTTGCTGCGATGTGGAGAGATGCCCCAATTCCTTGCCTCCACTTTGCATGGCCAGCATCTATCCTCTGTCTCACGGGGTGTGGTTCATTTAACGTATAAGGCAACACGCTTGTAAGTGCCTTAGACATTCTTGAAGGGCTTGGGAAGAGCTGTTTCCCAGGTTTGAGCCCCTCTGTTCCGCAGCCCTGATCAGACCTCACCCAGCCGCCCCTGTCCTTGTCATGCTGGAGGCTGCAGATTGCTGGACCGTTGGTGTCCCCCTGGGGTGGGTAACTTTAAAACATGCACTTAGCGCTGTTCCTGTACCCACATCTCAAACAGAGGTGTGAGCTTCTCAACGTTTCTGCCTTTTTTTTTTGTGATTGTTCCCTTTTCCAGGTTCACAGCCGCCTTCGAGAGAATCCAGCGGGACGGCTGTCACTCCAGAGAACCGGCACCAGCCCCCCAGCACAAACTGCTTTGGTGGGAGATCCCGGTAAGACACCTCCCTCCTTGTGAATGAGGAGGAGCCTGGAAGTTGCTTAGAGCTCTTGAAAACATGTTGGGAAGCGGCGAGGAACAATTTATGTTAGAAACTGTTGGAAATTTCCAGAGAGCTTATAACTGACTTATAAGTATGTTAAGATGGCCCAGAGAGGAATACAAAACTCAGGATTCTCGGAAGGGTCAAGGGTGCCTTGACAAAGCTTGGGACTGACTCAGTTGGTTATTTGGCTGAGCGGAACTGTTGAACAGAGCTTGACTGCTTTTTATGCATCAGGTACAGTAGCCACAGTTATCCTTTCAGGATGCACATAGGAACACTTAGAGCAGTGGTTCCTTGTATGGGAAATTTTCTGTCTGTACATTTCTATTTGCGGGGGGTGATCCATGATACCCTTTGGAGTGTTGGTTAAGACCTCCTGCACACAGAGTCTGACCTGTATTATACTTGTTATATACATCCCAAATGACTTAATTTTATTTACCGACATTCCCATCTTATACCTGTGTTAATGGTGCAAACTCCTCTCCACGGTCGCTGAATTCCCAGGCAGAGGAATAGTTTTAAGTGTATTTGAGAGATGAGGAGGAGGTTGGGAACCTGCTTTTTTAAATAATTAAATAAATAAATTTATTTATTTATTTTTGGCTGCGTTGGGTCTTCGTTGCTGTGTGCATGGGCTTTCTCCAGTTGTGGCGAGCGGGGGCTACTCTTCGTTGAGGTGCGCAGGCTTCTCATTGCGGTGGCTTCTCTTGTTGCCGAGCATGGTCTCTAGTGTGCGGGCTTCAGTAGCTGTGGCACACGGACTCAGTAGTTGTGGCTCGCAGGCTCTAGAGCGCAGGCTCAGTAGTTGTGGCACACGGGCTTAGTTGCTCCGCGGCACGTGGGATCTTCCCGGACCAGGGCTCGAACCCGTGTCCCCTGCATTGGCAGGCAGATTCTTAACCAATGCACCACCAGGGAAGTCCCGGGAACCTGTTTTATTGTTTATTACAATGTACAAAATCCCCAGACATTTTAAGGAAATTTTAAGGAAAAGAATCATATGGAATGTAGTTTGTATCTGCAGAGAGTAGGCGAATAACTGGTAAAAATCCTCCCAAACCAATCCCGGGCGGTGGGGGAATAATGCTTTAAAAACAAAGCATATTTTAGCCAATACCCACAACATCTGGAAAGATCCCTCTGAGGACAGCCTTCAGCCTCTCTGGATTTGGTTGTTTTGAGGGTTTGTGAGGTCTTGATGCTTGCCAGGTGTCAGCAACAAGAGAGGGTTGGATGTTTGGATCTTTTGTCTATAGCATCATTAGAAGCAGAGGTGCTCTTTGCCTGTCATCTTTTCTCCAAGCCTCTGCAAAGGTCTTAATTACCTCATACCATGAAGACTAGTCATCTAGCGAGTCACAGAGAAGAGTGATTTGAAGGTTGAGATAAGTAGTTGACTCTCACAGGGTAAGGACCAACGATATAACTGGCAAATCTTATATCAACAAAGGCATGATTGGCGCCCAGAGCTAGAGAAAAGAAAATCTCTTCAGTGGTGAGTAGCTGGTGGAGAGGAACACCTCAGACATTCACTCTGAGAATGATGCCTTCTTGGCTCTGGTGCTAGTAACTACCATCTTGGTCTTTTAGCTGACTTGGAAAATTGGTGTCAAACACAACTGATGTCACTTAATTTGGGGCTGGAGGGCAGTGTTCAGCTCTTAACATTTGGACTTAAGTTCTTGACCTATTTGCTGCTCTCTGAAGTTCTCTAGTTGATAGACCTTGAAATTTACATGTCTGGATAGCCCTTCTTTGCTGATGTGTTGAGGATTCTTGAGTGTTACAGCAGCAGGCAGACTTCAACAGAAAATCGGGCGCATTTTTGCCCATAACACATGGCGGACGTTCAATGCTAGTTAATTGTTAGTGGGCAAATTGCCTTCTAGGTAGCTGAAGCCGTGTGGGAGTCCTCCTCCGCCTGCCCAGCTACTGCAGCATTTTCCATGCATGGCCTCTGAATTTTCACAGGCCTCTTCCATCTAAGTATTTATTGTGTGTTCGCATGGAACCTACTGCCATTCAGCAGCAAACACTTTTGGATGTATGGCCCCAAGGCAGTCTCTTCTGCATCCTTAGGAGCCCCCTTTCCCCACTGCTGCCGCATTTACGAAGGTCACCGTGCACACAGAGTAGTCTGCTGGATGAGTGTGAGGCTCTGGAATCAGATGTAGATTGAATCCTGGCCTGTCATTTACTTGCTATACAATATTGGACAAGTCACTGAAATGCTCAGCCTCTCAGTTTTTTCAGGCATGAAATGGGGACATCGCCTGCCTCACAGGGTCATTGTAGGGATTAACTGAGATGAGTTCTGTCAGTCTGAGGGCCTTGCACACTGGGAGCGCTCAGTGAAGGTGGCCAGGAATTGCATCTGGAGACTGTCTTGCGCCCCACATCCCCACACCCAAACCTGGGAAGCACGGCATTACTGAAGCATTCCTGTCCAGGAGACTGTAGTTCGGAGGGTGGTGAATCTAACGTTCAGGATTCAGGGACAGTCCTCCGCTGTCCTTGGTTTCCTGTGGCAGAGAGAATGACGGGCTTCTGCTTGCCGCCTCCCAGACTAAATATTTAGCTTTCGCCGTCTGAATGGTAGGTTTTTCTTGGACTTGGGTGCTGTTCTCCATGATCAAAGGTGCTCTGATGTGCCCGTGAAGGTGAAGATTACAATGTGAAAGCAGCCTTTTCCTCTCCTTCCCCTGCTTTATACAGCCATAGAACTGGAACCGTGTAAGAGTTTTATCTTAAAGGTTCATCTACCCAAGCTCATCCAGCAAAGCTACCACGTGCTTGCTAAACAAGGCCTCAAAGCTCCGTCTCTTACTGGGATCTTTCTCATTATTTAGGGATCATCAGGTGAAACATCTCTAGTTGTTTTGCCATCTGAGCTGCCACGTGGAAGCCAGCACGGGATCGCCACCGATGGCATAAATTTATTAGCAGACAGACCATGTTAGTATCCAGTCGGTGGGTCTGGCTGAGTAAAGAAAGAGCTAACACTGTACATCGTTGTTTAGTCCTACAATGAAATGCCGCCCCATAACAAAAATGGAGGAAAGATAGTTGCGTCACTGTGGCAGAACTTCAGAAACATAATGTTGAACAAGAGCAGCAGATCACAGAAAAAATATATAGTATGATGTCATTTATGTGAAGTTCAAAAATGTAAACTGAAACCATGTATTTTTTATGGATACCTTCATAGGTGGTAAAACTATAAAAATTGGAAGGGAATGCTAATTAACCCTGAATTCAGGAGGATGGTTGTCACTGGTGGGTTTAATGAGGAAAAGGCACAGTGAAAGCTTCTGGGTATGGGGGATGCTATTTCTTGGCCCTGGGTGTTCATTTTATTATTCTTTTTTCAATTGACTATATATTTAATATATTCTTTGGTTTACACTGTATTCTTCATAATACAAAGACTGTCATCCACCAACCTAGGTAAACTGTAGAGTGATGGTGCTAGGTTGGAGAGATTGTTGCGTGGCATCGAGGTAGACAGATTTCAGAACTTAGGGATTCTCCAGGCTCGATAATGACCACTCATTTCTCTTCTGCACAGTTTATCTTTATAGCAGTGGAGCCAGTGATTCTAAGGCGAAGCTTCACGTTGGCCTTGTTGGCTGTGCTCCTGTTACTTAGAAATCTCAGGTGGGAGAATTTAGTTTGGGCCTTGGGAAAGGGTTCCAGATGAAAGCTGGTCACTGCCAGATCATGTGTCAGAACAGCAGTAATCTTGGGGGCCCAGGAGGCCCTTTGGTGTTTGGAGCAGGGACCATTACGTGGTGTACCCGGGGCTCTGTCTGTGAGTGTGCCGTCCTGCCCTGTGTCCTCAGCCAGCGTTCCTTATTCCAGTGTGTTATGGAGCCCCCTGGGAGAGTGTGTGCTAGTTGGCACGGGGAGGGCCTACCACACCCTTTAATAATCCCCCAGTGTTTATTTTATTTTGCTGGAATGAGGGCCAGCTTGGGAACCGTGCCTAAGTCAATTCAGGCTTTGCAGTTCTCATGTGTGCCCGGTGTCATGCACACATCGCCTTGCACGAGGCCTGCCAGAAACATGGTGTCTGCTCTCCACAGTGAGCGCACAGTCTTCGTGGCGTACACGATGTATATGAAATGGCGAGCGTCACGGGAAGCTCAGAAAGAGGAGAGAGGAGCATGTGGAGAGGGAGAGACCGAGGCGAGGGGGGGGCGTGGGTTTGCAGAGAGACTTGTCCACTGTCCAAAGGTTCAGTACAGTGTCTTAGGGGCTAACACGTGAGGGTGCTAACTAGTGAACTAGAGGAGCTAGTGCTGTGGTGGACGTGGAGGGGGAAAGAACCCAGCAAGGGGATCCACTCTGGTACCGGCAGCTTTCTTCAGAGCTACCGCTAGGTTAGAAAAGCCAGGACGTTGGAGTCCCTCTGTGGTTTGCCGATTCTTCATCACTTGTGATTTTTTCCCCACTCCTCAGCTATTACATGAAACCAGGGAGTTAAGGTGATGTCACCTAATGGGTGAAACCATAGGACTGCCCGTGAGCACTGCTGTTGCTCCAAGCATAGCCTTAAGATTTCTTCTGACTTGAGTAACTAGCTCCTCCATCTAGAATCCCCGTAGATTTTCCATCGTCATACAGGGAAATGGTACCAACAAATGGAAGAATGCATTGAATTTGCTTTTAGGTTCCTAAAGTTTTTCATTAATAGGTCTGAAAACTGTGAAAGGGATCTTGGTTAAGAATCTAGACATAGGGGCTTAAATAATTTTTCTTTATTATGTATTATGTACATATTTATTGTAAGAGTATATGTGAATGTGCGTGAGTGTGTGCATGTGTTTTGTGTGAAGGGCTGCAGGCCTCCATCCTCCATCAACTGTCACTACTGGGCAGTGTTGGTTGGAATCTAGATTTTAACAAACTCCCACACGATTCTTTTACATGTGAAAGTTCAGACC